TTGGAAGTGTGTCACGTGCGAAGCCATCGGCTGGGATCATGTCGGATGGCGAGATGAGATGTCAAGGGCCAAAGGACCCGAAAGACACTAAATCCAGAGGCACATTATTAGGCACTGCAGCAGTGCAAGAATGTTGGCTGAGAAAAACGAAAGTCGTGCTCAGGTGAGCCACGCTATTGCCCTGAGAATGAATTATTTATGGCTGGAGGGGGACCTCTATCTCTTTCAATTTTGTCGATACTTTTGCACATCGCACACTCGCGCGCAGAGTCGGCTTGAGCTGCGTGGAAGTTGGTCACTTAGCGTCTCGATCGCGGGGCTTTCGAACAGTGTGTTTCTGCTGATAAAAGCGCCTGCAATTGAGGCTGGATTGAGTGCCATTTTCGCGAGTGTATCTGTGCGCGACCAGTATCGCAATGCCAGACGATCTCCTATCGCTCGTCGCGGAGGTGTTCTCTTGAGAATCGCGAAAAGTCAAGATTTTGCAAATAATCATCGCGAAATACATATTCATGCGAGACGTGACTTTGTTGCGAATTGTTGCTGTGTGTTGGTGACTTCTCGGCTATATTTAAATTATCTTCAAATGTGATACTGCAAATACCGCAGCGATATTAGCGGATCGCAGTGTAGTGAGAATCGCGCGTTGTGCAGTTTCCAACCGGCCGCAACCTTTCAATTTATTGGAGCTAAAATAAAATCATCAGATCTGATCTATTTGATATAGAACGAAACGATAATCTGCATTTCATACAAATGCTCACACAGATAACGCGTTTTACTCTCAAGTGTTGGTGAATTGCCACAAATGAAGCAGAAAGTGGCAGTAAATGCAGTTTAAGGATATTTAATCACAATCACTGTGTTTTATCAACCACATTGTAGTGCATTTTGTAAGTCACGATCGCATAACATCTGTGAATACAATTGGATTAAACCTGGAATCAATTTATATCACTTACTTTGTGTATGACTTTATCAATTCAATTCGCCACATTGTGTTCGCCAATACATCGAGACAGCTGTTAAATTACGTGGTGTGCGAAAATAAATAGTCCGTTGTGCTCTTTTTCTACGTGTAAACTATGAGCAGTATCGCGAATTTCAATAAAAACTGATAGAGTGTGTTGTGTGACTTAATTTATGTTCTAAAGACATGGAGTCTCAACTGTACATTTTTTGCCACATTTCTCCCATTCGCTCACACAATCTGAGAGCCTCCATTGGCGCACTATATTCGCGACGGCGTTGCTGAGATAAGGACCACAGACAAAGTCACATTGTATCAGAATTGCAAAATTTACCCAGACGAGGTCAAACATCTGTCTAATTTAAATTTTTTTCACCGCGAATCCACTAACTTGGCGCCGGTCAACGCAATTTTTCTTGGGCATTTCTGCGCGCATCGAAGCACTTTTGATGGGAGGGGAAAAGAAGTGATGCTAAACTGTTGCAAAAATACTTTATACATGTATATATTTGTTTATTTTCCACCTCAAGTTCTGTTCGCCTCGATCATAAATAATAACGGATTTAATGATAAAATTAATGCTATTATGTGATCCACTTAAGCAAATAAATTCATGCCAGTGTCGCAGGCAAAGGACTGGAATTAGAATATGATTTTACAATTTCTGCAAAGTTGCTCAACAGTGAAATTTTCAAGGTTCTTTGTATCATTATGACCATGTGGAAAGCAAGAAGAAAATGCAGACAGATCAAAGCCCCGCAGACAGCCAGTCTTGTGGCAATGATTTTCACAGTGGATGTTAATATTAAGAGTTATGTGCATTACATTTAATTATATATGTATATGCAGAGCATCTTCATAAGTTACATACAAATCTTTAACAGCGATCACCCATAAAATTATATACTCGCCATTTGATTTTTTATGCACTCAGTTGAGAATAATCACGTTGAAAGAATGCAAATGGCATTTCGGAGAGTGCTAAAGATCCATCAATATTTCTTGGTGAAAAGATTTATTCAAACGAAACCAATGAAAATAATACATAAAAAAAATACACACATATTTGAAGAGATTTGTAATTAAATCTATTTATAGAGATGCAAAAAAAATTCACTGACGTACGAGCTTTCCAATACAAGTATTTCTGTTTGGATATTCGTACAAACGTTACACAAAAATCAAATGTATACAAACTCTATTGTTCATGTAAATTTATTCTTCACACGTTAAATGAATCGTACAAAATTGAATAATTGTGTTTGACTTCTGAATTAATCCTTTACATTGTTATAAAGTTAAATTCTTTTACATACATATTTGATCGCAAATTATCTTATCTGAAATACATATCTTATGCAAATATATATCCAGATGATGTGAAGCGTCTTGGGGTGGAATTAAGGGGAAAATCACTCGCGATTTTAGACTTTTAACTTTCTGATTATTCAATCATTTTTTGATTATTCGTGATTTTTATTTAAATTGTGATTCTTTTCTCCACAAATTGCCGCTAGAGGGCAGCAGTTTGAAGACAGGTAGAAGTTCTGATTATATTTCTTAAACCATCCTGACCAGAATCAGACCCGGAAGTCATAGACTGTGAGAATAGGGAATAAATTATGCGTAAAATACGATGAGAAATGCGTTCTCCACGCCAACTTTGCTGCTTTCTGGCGATAATATGTGGAAAATATAATCAAATCCTAAATATATTTAAAATTTAATTAAGTATTTAGAATATATTTAAACAAAACTTGATTTATTTAAATATTTTGCTTAAAATATTCAATTTTTAATTATTTAATAGTTTTACTTCAATATGATATTTAAATATTTGATTGAGAAAATTAGGATTCCTCAAAAATCGGCTAGTGACTTTCCCCTTAAATGCAATAATGTGTTAACAAATTGTCATTCTACATCTGATATCGGAATTTCTTTATTGCGATTCCTCAATTGCGTGCAGAGAACTTGTTACTCTCTGCGCTGACTTAAGTAATCGCGAGTAATCGCATTTTTTCATGTTCCGCATTGATCGCTTTTGATACACAGAATTTAGACGCTAAACTGGCAAGATACACACTTGACATAAATCAAGCAAATGAGATTATTAATGCCTTCAAATGATTTGACAATCAGACACACAATCAATTATGCATTTGCTACCTTTTCTGCAAGAAATCAATCAAGTCTGGCAGGAATTGTATTTCATATCTATGAGAATGTTCCTTTTTCAAAACACCCCAGAGAGGATTACCTTCAAGCTTGGCAAGTCTATTTGTATGTAAGATCAGTAGAAATACTGAAAATGTATCATAGAATTTGCATTGCTGCACAAATTGAATTTCTTATCTGGCAAATAGAACGAAAAATCGTGAGGCTCAGCGTGAACCTTTTGGTCCTCAGGAATCAGCGGAAGGGCATGAGTTCCAGATCGCGCGCTCCACAATATGAGAAGATACAGATGGCTTAAGAAGTGATAATAAATTTCTCTCAGATAACCTTCACCCCGTGCGCTTCATGAGCGCAATAAAATACTCCTCATAGTTGAAAGAGATGTTAACCCGGAAGGCATGTTTGAGCATGTATGCATATGAGAGGCACTGTGGCGAAGAAATATGCAGGAACACATTTTGCTCATCTGGCATATGTATTATTATCCTAAAAAGATGCGTGTGGAACATGGTTTATTATGATAAATATTGACTGTTTGCCCAGCAATTGGAAAAGGTCATGTTACCTGTGTGGATATATTCACTTCATTCAGACATTAATTAATCTGTAATTATGCTGGCCAATAAGATTATGCGGCGAAGGAAGATTCATTACGCGGTAGTGATTTCCTTGGCTTCAAGTCGACACGTGAATTAAAAACTATGAGAAATCTATTGAAAATTTAGCGTTAATTTCAAAATGTGCCGAATTTTCACTCAAACTCCCGATAATTGTTTGATAAAGTGTTTATTATTGCCATATAATAATTATTTTGTTGATTTTATTGGTATTTATTTGAATTTGTACTAAAATATGGCAAAGTTAATAGATAAACTGATTGGCCAAAAGTCAATTTCAAATAAGCTTTGAGTGCATTTTATCCAAAAAAGTTGTAAGAAATAATTTTTTCATACATTACATTACTTTTTTCCAAAGTTCTATATTTCAAGAATTCAAAAATATGGCATATATTCTCCCTTATGAAAAGTACAATTATGAAAAGCTGATTTTTTTATAGATTCCTCTGCAGCTCAAGAAAATTTTTAACATTCGTGTGTTTTTACTAAGAAATCTTACATTTTTTTGTAGTCAAACAGATAAAAACCTTTTATTTATTGAAATACAAAGAAACAAAGAACAAAGATTCAGGTTTGATATGATACATAGGCACGTCATAAGTATATGTTGATGTCTTCTGCAACAAAATATTTAATTGAGTTGTCGTTATTTGCTGTGAACGATTTTTTTTTATTTCTTAATCTTCTGTAATGAGCTGAAATTATCTCAAGCAGCGGCTATTCATTGTAGAGCCGAAAGAGAAGAGGTTTCGTGTCGACCGAATCAACCCTTCTTGCGCGTGACATGAAAATTTGACAAACTTAAACGCTCGCTGCAGTTGTGCATCATTATTTTCGTCATGCATCTGCACTTGCATACATATTCGCTCTCGGTGCGCCGAACAGTTATATAAATCGCGCACAGACACTTTGCCTCTCTCTTGTGGCGGGAAAATGTGCGCGCGTAAAGAGTGAGGAGGAGAAATAGTGCTCTCAGTCATGCTCTGCCTCTGTGTTTGTTTGCGAGAGGGTGCTTCTGCAATTAGAGCGCAAACACTGAGTCGCGCGAAAGGTTGCAGCGCGCCAGTGGGGCGTTCGCGAGGGGGTCCAGGCGAACAGTTAGCCACGGCGATCACCCACGATAAGGTGATACGTGGGATTGCGGGCTGCGCCGACTTGGCAGGTGACCGGGAAGTGGAGGGCATGTAATCGCGAGACACGCTTCTTTCACATGAGTTCCCCTTTTCGACTCTCGCACACACACCATGGCGGCACATGTGCGCTCCTTCGGCCAGTGTCCGTGTGTGCAACGCCGGGAAGATTGCAAATAGCCAGTGAATGACGTTGAGCGGCGAAATATCTTGGCATTGACGCGATTTTGCTGAGAGCGAAGCACACTCGTCAGTGTGTCGATACATAGCATGGATTGTATAATGCGATGCATCGCCAGACCGAAGGCATTGCCTGTGTTCAGTTGCAAGCCGTCCTCCGTTCGTGTCACACAGCTCAAATCACCGTCGCATCCATTCGATACTCTCAGTGGCTGTTCTGCAATCGCCAGTTGTAGTTGCGACACTCACAGATTGCTATCGTAGAAGTGCATCGCGAGAGTTTCTCGAGACATTTTCGGAAGTCATATTTTGCTAATTGCGAAGAAATTCAAATATCACGGGTGGTCAGAACTTCATGTGAAGGCGCGACGCGAGCAAGTGTTGATTAATTGCCCGCAAATCCGCAAATTGCACGGACACGGTGAATCCTCACGTAATGGTCAACCAGAAATAAATTCAATTGAAAACTACTGTGTGGTAGACAAAAAAAAAACCTTTGAAGTCACGCTGTGTGTGTGGACTTATTAGAAGTCTTGTCTAATTGCAACATTGTTGTTAACATTTCGCGAGAGGAGCGTTGCATGTGCAGCAATATATGCAACAATTGTATGGATTTAGTGACTTGTTGCTGGCAGAGTACATAACACAGTGAATATCGCACATAGTCGCTCTGTCATGTACCTTAATGTCTGCAACTTGAGGTGGTTTTCGTGAACTACAGTCGAGCTTTCGCGCTTCAGCCGCTGGCTATTTTTTCCGTTGTGCTAAGTACTTATCGCGGAAACGAGTGCCGTCCGCAAGAGCTGCCAAAACTCGAAGACACGAGTGACAATTTCTTGAATGAACCCTTAAGATCCGAATTAGTGGTACTTAGCTGATCTGCATCAGGCGATCGTGAACCCGTTGGGATCTCCAATCGTAGGGCCAAAGCGCGCGATCAGGTTGTTGTGGTTGATTGACCGGCGCGCCTGGGGGCAAACGGAGGCATGCCAAGAGGCAATCAGTGCGACGAAGAGTGAGAGAAGGTGGCAAAGAGTGATGAATGTTTGCCCACGGCAGATGCAACAAGTCACAGACGGTAATTTCAATAACTGAAAGCACAAGTCCCCATCATCGCAGCTCATTTTGATCCTCTGGAGTGTGTGACAAAAGTGGGCGGACCACGAGACGAAGCTCGACTGTCTCAAGCTCTGGTGTGATCATCAAAAGTGGCACGCTGTTGATGGTGTCGGAGCCCAATACGTGGAGCAGCGTGATGTCCAGCTCGGACCTCACAGACTCGAAGTCTGAGTTGTGCGGCGGAGCCCAGGGCTCCAAGGGCAACTCCTTGATCCCGAGGACGCCACCGAATTGCGCCCGCTGTCGCAATCACGGCCTCAAGATCGCCCTGAAGGGGCACAAGCGCTACTGCAAGTTTCGCTATTGCAACTGCGAAAAGTGCCGCCTCACGGCCGAACGGCAGCGGGTGATGGCCCTGCAGACGGCCCTCAGACGTGCTCAGGCTCAGGACGAGGTGCGCCAGATCTCCGCGGATGAGGTGCCGCCGACGCCACCGCCAGCCCTGTGCCCACTCGCGACGCCCAAAAGCCAGTGCGACAGCGAGCCGCCGGTGCCCATCACGGTGCCCACGCCGGCCAGGTCCCTCGAGGGCTCCTGCCACTCCTCCTCGGCGACGCCCTGCTCCGCCACCGGCGAACCCGTGCCATCCAGCCGCAAGTTGGCGCCCGTCAACCCGACCATCAGGAACAACACCGCGGCAAGTAAGTGCGCTCCCGTCCTTTTTTGTCCTTTCGCCTGCCCGTCGGACAGGCCCTCAGCCTGGGCCGACTCAAGCTCAGTAGCGACTAAGCCCGCGACTGATTAACTCGACTCTAGAACAATTTGCATTTTGACTCGAGAACCAGTATTGCGCAGTTTAAATAAACCACTTCTCTTCACTATTCAAAATAAGATTTACAAAGCACCCAACGCTTGAAAGGGTAACTTAAATAGATTTATCTTCGATTCTAAAAGTTTCGTGCTGATTTAAAAAATTTTCCACTTGTCTGCGTTAATTATAGGGTGAGAAGACAACTTTATTCTAGAGTTTTGCGTTCATTTGAACGGTAGTTTGTTGTTTTTTTTCTGAGGAAATTCGCAAACACCTGCATGAGAGTGTTTTTTGGTCGTTTTCTCATCGTCTGAAATAGTTCTCATAATCTCCAAATTAACTCTGGATTTATTTACATAAACATGCAGGATATTGTCACGCAAAAACTCAATTTCTTGGGCTTTGCAAATCATCCCAACACAAAAGGCTCCCGTGGTTCTTTATTGACTGCGGGTTTTTGTCTGTTGCCATTTGGGGAGTTTCTACAGATCAGTCCGACTGATATTGTCGGAAGATTGGTGTTGAGTGAGTTTTTGTCCCTGGGCAACAGACAGTTTGACCCATTGTGAAGATCACAGGTTCATATATCGATTAGATCTGAACAAGGAGAGTGTAATCGAGGATGATTGCTGCGGCGTTTGCATAATTGCGCCTTTTGGAAAGTTCAGCGCGCGGTCGAAGTTGATGCGATTTCGTGAAATTTCAGATAGTTGGGAAAGCCTCAATGCTCCCGAAGGAGAATGGCTAAAAAGCCATGCCGACGTGCTCAGTATGGATACATTGTATGAATGCCATCTGTTAAGTACTGCAAAAAGGCTGAATTCTAAGGTGGAACCGGTTCCTCAGCGCGCTGCAACTCCAATGTAGCGTGGTATAATGATGTATTGAGCGCAACAGTGTTGTTGCATTTCGCGAGGCCGCGCTATAAATAATGCCAACGAGAGTTTACCAGGAGGAATGGCAAACATGGTGAAGAATCATGATTTCCTTCGCTTTATTGGGGACTCACCAATCTCACCGCAATCACCCACGTTGTCCAAACATTTTCAGAGACTTTCACGAAAATCTCGCAGCGCCAGGAATCCGCGGCCGAGGCCAGAGCAATTGGCATTGGACTTGAAAGTGCTGCAGAGAATGGCTTCGAAAATATTCACGCCCATGCATTCTGATAAATTTACTTTTTACACTTAATTTAAGACGCGATATCACGCTCAGTTCCTCAATATAAAACCCCTTTTTTCCCAATCCTCACGATATACTTCTTTCGCTGTTTATTTGCCGACGGAGATGCAACACTTGAACTTTTCGATAATTGTTTATTTTTTCAACACTCTGGCAGATTAGAGATGCCTCGCCAGAGTGGCTGAGACGATGTGAGAATTGCAGACAGAATTGGAAATGTGCTACATAAGGTTTTTCTCACCAATTCATCGTTGCATTTGGAAAGCGTCACGACTCACAGTGAAATTTATGTGACAAAATAAGTATTTCTCCCTTATTTACAGTGAATTTTTCAATGACCAAATTCAACTTTAAGTCTGTGAGCTCCATTCTGGGTATAAATCTACAAATTTATCACTTATCATCATTTCAAAATCACTCTATTTGTGTATTTTACAATGTTGTGCATAAATAACTCCGAATTTCTCATGTCCGTATAATCTAGAAAATCTCATTGGCATCTTGTTCAACTCATTTCTGATGTATATATGTGTATATATATTGAACCATTGTTTTTGTCTCTGCTTCTTACAACTTATCCGCATGTATTCAGACTTAAATTGGTACTGAAACTAAGCTGCAAAAATATGTTTCTAATTTCTGGATATTATATTGTTCTGTCAGTTTCTACCCATTGTCGCTTATACATTGTTGTATAGCGAACTATTTTAACTGTTATACAAAAGATAATTTCCTTAGGAAGCATTGCTTTATCTCGGCAACATTCTGTGCTCAAATGCCAGATTTTTCTCGATGCCGTGGCGGCTCAGAATTCGACACCGTGTTATTAGATGAACGCGGATTTCATTAAGTGAGGAGGAACAGAAATTGGGCATCAGTCTTGGCAAATTTATATGTATCACGACGTTGCAGCATTAGAATCACAGGCGTTGTGTGCAGTGTTAGAAACCAATTTACTGTCTATGGGCATTTAATGGGTCGTCAGCGTTGCAATTTTCTTGCCATTTCTCTCCATGTGGCATTTCTCGAGTGCGCCGCAAATACATATATTTAAATTGATATAGATTGGAGAAAAGTCAGTCTGAGATACGCTCGCATCCCACACACGATTGCAGAGCTGCCAGCAATCCCTACTGACGCATACCTTTTAAATATATCGCGAATATTCGCCACTTATTTTCCCCTCCATTCAATGTGTTTGAAATTATTTTAAATGACTGGAGACTTCTGCATATTTCCCTTATATTTATGGGGGGGAATTTTATCGAAGAAGTCAGCACACAATGTGTGCAATTTTGCGATTACATTGAGCTCCACATAAAGTGCTTAATGTGGTAGAAATTGAGTCTTGCAGTGTGCTAAAGAGAGGATATTTACGAGTATCTCCGCGGTGACCGCTTTTTAAAGCCTGGGCAGCAGAATCAATTTGTTGCTGCAGCCAATGCGATTATGTGGGGGCTTTAGTGTCAATATTATTGCGACCGAGGGTGAAAGAGATTTTTGAAAAGTCCGCCACAACATCACACATCTTCTCAATCCTGCCAGAGGCGCTCATCTACTGTGACTCTCCCCTATCTCGCGGATGCAACAAGTAGAAGAGGAAATGCGCAATTCAGGCAATTCATCTTTGTGTATTTACATAAATGTCGTGGAGCACGAAATATGGTTGGAAGAATTAGTGCTGAAGACAAATGGATAAAAAGGGTCTCGGCGCAATAGTATTCCAGAACAGTTGGGGGCTAGACAACAATTCCATGCCATCCCTTGTGGACCGACAATTGTTGCGCAGGAATTTGCCCAACAACAGCCGAGGCAATGTTACATTATTTTGCAACAAAAATGCATCAAGCATGGCTCGAAGGAATGGACGATTGCGCGATTGTATAGCATAATTTCGTGTGATCTTACACGGCAAAGAAATCTATAGTGATTCTGGGTGGAGATAAAAATTATCCATAGACATAACTATTTCTGCACAGCAGCCAATCGCCCTGCTGTTTCGCGTAGTGAGCAGAGAATTTATCAATTGCATGACAGATCGCTGGCAACTTATAATGAGCAGAGAAAAAAAAGGGAAAATCCACACAACATTTGTCACTTTTGTCATTTCATGCTATATGTGGAAATGTTATCGGATGTATTTCGAGTTATTTTATTTGCGGAGTAGAGATTAAAACTTGTTTCAATGTGGAGAGATTTGCATTAAGACGATTTATGCATGTCCTTATTCGGGAGTTGTAATGAGAAATGTGCGATGGAAAGAGATCATCTGCTAACATCTACATACAAAATTATCAATTCTCTCCTCTTTCTGCTCTTCGTAATAATCACTGAACGCATTTTGAGGTTGAGTTTATTTTTATGTCATTCAAATCGTCCAGATAATGTGTTCATTTATGAAACGGGTTTATGTTCTGATATCAGAAAAGAATTATTAGGTATTAAAGTGTGTGATAAGATTGTGCAATTGTCATCCTTAAATTGTATTCAAAATGCTAATCGTGACGAGAATTGATGAGTTGGAAGGAATTTGCAAAATTTGAGAGCTAATTGGGGAAAAAATCTTAATTTTCTTATTTTAAAATGTTAGAAGAGTTTCAAAGTTTGTCTGTTAATTGATTCTTGCAAGATATTCTGGTTTTATCATAAGCTTAACCAAGTAATTAGAAGGATTATCCTCATTTTCATTTTTCTCTCTAGTCTTAGAGTCGATCTTAGACGATTGTTTGTGTTGACGCATTTCAGTGCAGAAATATCGTCGAATGCGCTTCACGCCATAGAGATAAGACCAAACCAGTTCCTTATCAAGTCCCGCTCGGGCACCAAAATTTAATCTATTTGCCTCCTGTGTAATTTCTACTTTCTTCACTCTTAACCAGACAGTCCAACTGATAACATCGTGATTTATACAATTTATTGAGTTAATTAAATTCCAAGTCAGAAACTTTGCCCTTTGAAGTGTAGAAATTTGCAATACAAGTAGTTTAAGTGAAGTGCAAAAGTCTATTTTTTTCACCTCCGCCGCTCATCATTTTCGTCTCCGCCGTCAGCCAAGCTGTGCCACCAGAGGGGGAGAAAAATTTTTTCCCTCCGAGCCACATAGGCTAATAAGTGACTAATTGCAGGTTGGTGCCCATCCATTTTTGCCCTCCTAGCCACATAGGCTAATAAGTGACTAATTGCAGGTTGGTGCCCATCCATTTTGGCCCTTCGAGGCAACGCCGTCCAAGTTGCGAAGGCGTCCACCAGCTTTTGCGGTGACCAAGTGCAGTCCACGCCGCCATTCAGCTCTGCCGTATCAATCTTCACACGCCAAGTAAGTTGTAACAGTGTAGAGTGAAAATTTGTGCACTTCCCATCTTTTTTCCTTTCGCTCTCACCCTGATTAATTATGACTCTCCTGAGCAAAAGAGCGACACTTAAGGGTCACCTGACTCGCATTGAAAATTATGTTGATTCCGTTCGCAAGGATGAGGCTTCCTTTTCGGCTACAGATATTGCCTCCAACATAACTAAACTTGATGACCTTAAAGCTCAACTCACAATGGTTCATGAAGAGCTAGTGAATACGGGAAATAATTCGGTGACTGAATATGAGGAGCACTCGAGAATCATGGAGCGAATTAGTCAGTTGAGGAGAATTTTGGGTGATGCTTTGGACCGGAAGGATGATAATGATGATCCTTTGCCCATCCCTGGCCCTTCTGG